GTTGGGATACGTTTGGAAGGTCATTGATGTATAGGAGTCGCTGCCTGACCTCGGTGGAGTGCGGTTGTGCACGGCACCCCTCTGCTGATATCAGTCATAGACCTTAGAACGCGATACGGAGGTTTTGGAGTGTTCAGAGTGGATCGCTCAGTGTTCAGAGTGACTCCTTCCGCCAGGTTTTTTCCAGGTTTTGGTTCGTTGGCCAGATTCTGGGAGCCGCCGGTCGGGACCCGTGAGTCCGTTTTTTTACCACTAAAAATTTTTCTGCCCTAACCTTTCTTTGGAATTTCGAGGGGATCGGCTGTTTCGGTTTTATTTCGCCACCCGTAGTTTTCCCGTTCCCTCCGTGGAAAATTTCGTGGGGGGGGCCTTTTCCCGAACCCCTTTGAGGGCGTTGTCAGTTTTTTTTTAAAGGGAAATTTCGGTTTTTTGTGTTTTTTCCAAAGGAATCGCGGGGCTTGGTGTTCGTGTTGTTTGGCCCCACCAGCCATGGCTTCGTGCACTTAACCGGGTTTGCCGGTGCTGTTGACCCATAGCCCCGATTCCCCCCCTTCTCAATTTGAGTATATTTGTGTCAGTTGGGGAAATTTCCATTGTAAATGGTTTCCCAAAACGCCCCTGGTGCCGTAAAACCCGCTTGGCCACGGGAAACCCGCGGTTTTTTAAATTTCGGGGGAACTGGCCCCTGGGCCCTTTGGGGTTTTTTGGCCAGTCCTGGGGAAAAAAAAAGGCCCAGTTCCAACGACGTCGGGGACGGGAAATGGGGGCCAGGGAAAAAACCCAGGCCCCTAAAGCGGGGCGGCCACAGAAGGCCTCGTGTCCCGCGCTTCCCCAAAAACCGGGGGAGTAACGCCAGGAAAACCCAACCCGGGCCCGCAGGGGCCCCCCCAAAAAAATGGGGCCAGGAAGGCCCCGGGACCCCCTCCTCAGGATCCCCCAAACCAAAACAAAACCCAGGGGCCTCAAGGCCAGGGAAAGGGAAGGAACGGGCCAAGCCAAACCGGGCCCCGAAAGGCCCCCAACTTGGACCTAAAAGCCCCTTTTTCCCCCTAGAATGGGGGGAAACCGGGGGGGACCCCCCACAAGCTCAGCCCCCAACCACCAGGGGAAGAGGGGGAAAAGCGCCAAAACAAACCCTTCATGAACAATGGCTCAAAACCAGGAAAACCCTCTAAAAAAAGGTGCAAAGGGGGGGCCCAGCCCTTCCCACCAGCGACTTTCCTCAGAAAACGCAAGGCGAGAGGCACCCCCGGGACAACAAGCCCCCAAAGGAATTTTTTGACCCCCGGGGCCCCAACCCCACAGGGGGGGGGGGTTGGGGGCGGCCCCAAGTTTTGGCCTATTGGGGGCCCATTTACAAGAAATGCCGGGGAAACCCAAATCCACCGAAATTTGGAAACGAGCCCCACCCCCACTCCAAAGGTTGGCGTAAAGGGCCCCCCCGAGCCCACCCCAAACCCCAAAGTCCCAATGGGAAAAAAACCCCAACAGGAAAAAGGGGTTTTCCTGCGGGCACCCGGTCAAATGCCGGGGAAGGCCCCCGAACCCACCCCAACCAAAACCCCAACCCCGGGGGGGGACATCCCCAAAGCCCCTTCCCCCCCCCAAACCCGGGAACTTCCACCGGCCTGGGGCGCCCGGGCCCCCTGGGGGGCCCCACCACAGCAAGATTCCCCCCTGGGGGCAACAAGGAACCATTCACCGAAGGGGAAAAAGGGCTGGGCGCCAACCTCAGCAAAAAGGAAAACGGAAACAAAAGCCGGTCAGGGAGGCAAGGGCTGGGCACTCACCCGGGGAACCCCACAAGGGACCCCCAAGCGCCCCCCCGGGGTCCCGGGAAAACGGTTGGCCCCCACGGGACACAGGCCCGAGCCGCCCCCCCCGGGGTGCAGCAGAAAACCGGGGGGGCAAAATCAGGCACAAGGAAACCCGCCCCGAGGGGGGCCCCCCCGCGGGAAAATTGAGAAAAATTTTGGGGGAGGGACCTGTCCCCAAAGAGGCAGCAGGCCCAAAGGGCCCTACACGTGAAAGGGGCATGGCTCCCTAGAGGGTCGTCCGGGAAAAGTCCCCTACCGGTTTTCCAGCCCGGGGAAAGGTCCCACCCCGGGGGATGTTCCCAAACCAGGCCAACGGGGGGGAATGGAGCGAGGGGTGCCCGGAGCCCCCAAAAATTTGGGGAAAATTGGGCCCGGGCAAAAAAATCCCCAGACCGGCGGCAGTCCTAGTAAGGCTTTTCCGGGAAATTTTTCCCCCCCCCAAAAAAAAAAACCCCCCGGGGAAATTTAACCTTGGGGCCCAAGCCCCCCCACCCGGGGGCCCTCCCCAAAACTGCGGTGGGGGGGAGGGGGCAACTTTCCGTAACCCACTGGACCACTGACTTTTCAATGGGTAGGGGAGGTTTTACTTCACCCTCATTCATCTGCCCAACCCCCCCCAGGGGTCCGGGGGGGGGGGAATCCGCCTCTAGTTTCCCACCCTTTTCCCCATCCTGGGCGGGCGGCCTTGGGGTTTGGGCCATATTTTTCCCCCTTGCCCTCCCAAAAAGGGGAGGCCCCCCGGGCGGCCCGATGGTTCACTCTCCTCTCCGGGGAGCCCCCGGGGAGGTGGGATCACCCCCTCTCCCGCGACCCTTGGAGTACCACCCCTCCCCCAGCACATCCCATCCACCCCTCCCGGGGGAATTTTCAAACACCGGCCCCCGGTGATCCAAGGGGGGGACGCTCCCCCCAACAACCATGGGTGAAACCCTCCCTCCCATCCATGCGGCGGGGGCCAAACCCATCCAAGGCGGAGGCCCCCCTCAACGGCTGGGGTTCTACGTGGGAAAGAGCAAAACCCGGCCAACGGGTCCCCGGCCCCAGCCAAACCCCAAACCCTGACACCCTTCGGCTACTGAGAGGGGGTGGTGCGGCACCTCCCACATCCCCCACAAGTCCCCCGCGAAGGGTTAAAAAGGTGTGCCTCCTTCGGCCAGCCACCCCTCGAGATCGGGGGAAATAGGTATGCTACCGAAAACGCAGAGGAACAGCGCGGCTCCCCCATGACCCCCCTGGGAAGCAGAGAGGGGTGGTCGACCTCTTCACTTCCCCGGGCAGCAACAGCACGCCTCCACAAGATGTGCAGAACCTCCAGGGGCCTCCTCCCAACAGGACTGCCAGGTACAGGCTGCATGCGCGAACACGCGACACCGAGAGATTCAGCACCGGGAGCTGAAGGCACCCCCCAGGCATCCCGACACCACCCCCGCCAGGATGGGTCACCTACAGTTGATCGCAAAGGGGGGGCCCCCCCTTTGGGCAGATGCATCTTTGGGAAACATCAACTGCTCCTGGAGGGGGGGCAACTCCCCCCTGCGGGAAGGAGGGGATCGTCCTGCCCATCCCCAAGCCCAGGGGCCCGGAAAGCATGAGGCCCATCTCTCCACCCGCTGTCTTCCCCAAAACGGGTGAGAGGGGTGATCCTTTAGCGACTACGTGGAACTTGGCCCCGGAAAACCCTCCAATACGGCTTCACCGAGGGGTGGGCACAGCAGAGAGATCACCCCCCTCCTTTTCGGCATTGGGTCAAACAAGAACCCAAAATTGTTTTCTTCCCGGACCTCGAGAAAACCTTTGAGCTTGCCAGCGCCCCGCCATCCTGACCTCCTAACGGCAGGGGGGTGAAGGGAAGGCTCCTTTCCTGGATCCTTCATACCTTCAGGGCAGGTGTCACGGTGCGTTCCCAGGGGCAAGTGTCCACCCCTCAGGCCCTTGAAAACGGCACCCCCCAGGGAGGGGTCCCCACCCCCCCTCTTTAATGTCCCGATCATGACTGGTGCAGCTGCCATTTTCTTTAGGGACCCCGCTGCTCACTACGCCGATGACTTCCCTCATCATCACCGAGAGATGGGTTTTTGCATAGACCCAACGGCCTAACCTCCTCTCCACCGCCTGCCGTCGTCTCGGGCTCAAGGTCTCAGCAAAAAATCCAAGGCCATGATCCTGCTGCCAAGTGCCGGGGGGGGACTGCGATGTCAGGATCAATCTCGACTGGGTCAGTACACCTGTACCTGGGAGTGCACCGACAATCGGGTCTCCTTCGGGAAACAGGGGGGAGTACGTCAGAGAGCGGACCAGCAAGGGTCACCGCCATGCGGGCCCTCGCCAGCCCTAGGTCAGGGGCCGCCCCTGACTTCCCGATTTTTTCTTGGCGGGGGTGCGCTCTCTCACGACTAGGGCACTTACCCTTTTTTCCATGCCCGCCCAAAAGCACCTTCGAAACTCAACTCTCCAAAATACGCAGCTCGGCTGTTGGGGGCGCCGAGGGGGAGAACACTGTCCCTGAATTGAGGCCCAATTTCAGCCGAGCGACAGAATCGCCCTTTGGCGCCAGGAGGGTGGCCCAAGTACGACAACCCCCGGTGGAGAGGGACTGCTGCAACACCTCCTTTAAAAGGGAACAGGAGACCTAGGGGGTCTCCTGCGGGTGTGGGGGTTTGGGCACGGCTGTTTTAGCAAGCCAAAATCCTCCCCATGGGGCTTAAGTCGACAAGGGGGGCTGTGACCCGGTTGGCGGGGACTCTGTCTCCCCCCTGGGCACCCAAACAGGTGTGTCCACATCCAAGACCCCCCAGTTGGCAACGTCACTGTCCACAAAAACCTGCGAGCAATGGGCTGCAGTGAGTATTGCAGCAGCAGAGCACCCTGGGCGCCTTATTTTCACCAGGGCTCCGGGATCCAGAGGGTGGCCGCACAGGTCCGGGTGCACCATCCAAAAATCTGACGGCTGGATGGCGTCTCCAAATCACTGCACAATTCTCCAGGCGAACTTTCCCTCCTTTCCCGAGGGCCCTGCAACAGCACCCCGGATCACGGCGACCCCCCGTCATTCAGGGGACCCAGAGCGGGATCCAGGCCGTCTGCACAGGGAGCCCCGGGACAACATCCGGCTAATTATGCCATCAGGGAAGGGGCCTGCAGACACTTAAGGAGCAGGGACAGCAACAACAATCAACTGGATACCGGCCACATCGACCTCGCTGGGGAAAGATCGGCAATCGAGCGGCGAAGTCGGGAACCCTTGAGCCCCAGCCTACCACCATTGCATCGCCGAAGGGAGGTGGATCTGTGGGCATGATGCAGCCAGGCCCACTACCCGGGCCCGGCACATCGCGGGGCCCGGGTCTGGTAAAGACAGGGGGACCCCTGGGGAGCCCCCCCCGAGAAGCGGAGGCTAGACGGAAGTTGCAGGTTGGGGGCCACCGCGCGACTTGGTCCCTACGCCAAAGACTCATTGACCCCCGTGCGAGAGGGGCCTGCCCCATTGCAACCAAGGGGCCCCCGTCCACTAGTGCACTACCTCCTCGACTGTCCCGGCGGTGTCACTCCCACGGGCACTTCCCCAAGGCGCCTGGGACCCCCAACCCAGAAAACCCCCCAGCCCGGCTGGTTACCTCGCCCCCCAAGACCCGGGAAATCTCATCCCCCTCCTGGGTGCCCACCCCCCACCCGAGACGCCGCCACAAAAACTACGAGTCCCACTACGCCCTCATCACCTCTCCACTCTTCCCTCTTTCACTCCCCCCCCTCCCCTTTCCCCCCCCCTTTAAAAAAAAAAAAAAAAAAAAAAAAAAATTTCCCAAAGGGGCCTGTACCCTTTTTAGGGAAAAATCGAAAACCCTAGAACCAAAGCCCACTACCCAAAATTTGACGGGCACAAGTGCCTGAAGCCCTACCTTCGAGCCTGCCGACAAAAGAAAGAGACACTCCCACTTGGGGGGCGTGCAAGATAGAAGAAAATTACCCTCCAACCAAGGGCCCAAGGAGAACTAAAGAAGAGAAGACGATCGACACCCCCCCCCGGGGGCCCCCGCCGGGTCACCATCTGGAGAAGACCCGGGCCGGAAGTACCGGCAAATCTTTAATGAATGAATGAATGAATTGATGTATATGAGGAAGAGCAGGGGACCAAGGACACTTCCCTGCGGAACTCCAGTATCAAGTGGCCGTGTTGCTGATGCTGTGTCTTTAATGGTGATGTACTGATACCTATTAGTAATGTAAGATTTGAAGTAAGCAAGCGCATGGCCTCTTATACCGTAGTGGTCAAGTTTGTGGAGTAGGATTTGGTGGTTTACTGTGTCAAAAGCTTTTCTTAGGTCAATAAAAATTCCTAGTGGATATTCCTTATTTTCCAATGCTGTGTAAAGCAGATCTAGCATTTTTATGATTGCATCATTAGTGCTTTTATTTTTCCTGAATCCAAACTGGCAGGGGTTGAGTATGTTTTGAGCCGTTATAAATGAATACAGTCTCTTGTACACGAGTTTCTCAAAGATTTTGGATAGCAATGGTAAGTTAGATATTAGCCAATAGTTGTTTAAGTCTGTAGGGTCACCACCTTTATGTATTGGTGTAACCCTTGCCATCTTGAGTAGTTTCGGGAAGGTGCTAGTCTCTATTGACTTGTTGAAAAGTAATGAAATAGCATGTGAAAGGACATGGGCCGCTCGCTTATACAGTAATGGTGGGACATGAGACAGATTCCCGAGTTATTTTTAAGTGACTTTATGATCCCAATGACTTCCGTGGGCTCAGTTGGTGCAAGATAGAAGGAATTAGGGAATTTACCATCTAGGTAGTCCCCGGCATGGGCATTGGTATGTGGGATTTTACTGGCGAGATTAGATCCTATGTTTGAGAAGAAGTCGTTTATCTTGTTAGCTGTGTCAGTGGGATGTAGTGGTGTTTCATTAGGTTTAGTTAGGACAATATTCTTGGTTTTTCTCAGTTTCTGGGTCCCTAGAATCTGAGAGAGTGTTTTCCAGGTCTTTTTTATATCTCCTCTAGTGTCTGTGAATCTAACTGAGTAGTATAGTTGTTTGGCTTTTTTATTACTTTGGTGAGAGCTGATGAATATGTGTTTAAGAGTATCTTTGTGTATTAAGCCCTGTCTATATTGCTTTTCATATTGGTGTTTCTTGTCTATGGATTTCAGAATGGTGCTGGTTAGCCATGGGCAACCAAGCCGTTTGTTTGTGATCTGTTTTGTTTTTATAGGACAATATTTGTTGTATAGTCTAAGTAATTTGTTAAGAAAGATGTCTGTCCAGTCATCAATACCATTGGCCTTGGAGAATTCTGTAGGCCAATCAACAGTCTCTAGGTCAGCTGTGAACTTCCTTACTGAGGCCTCGTCATGGAGTCTAAATGAGACTTCGTTGTATTCAAGTGGTGGTTTACTAATGTTTGTCAGGAGGAAGGTAGGGTAGTGGTCTGTAGTGCTATCTGTGATTATCCTGATTTAAGGGGGGCTAGTATATTGGTCCATATGTGGTCTATTATGGTTGCACTTGTCTCAGTGAGCCTGGTTGGTTTAGTTATTGTTGGTATGAGAAGTGTGTTGTTCATATTGTTGATGAAATCAGTTACAGGTGATCATTAGTAAGCCAAGTTGATGTTGAAGTCTCCACTAAGAAGGTGGTGCTTATTCATTTGCCCTGTTTGTTATTAGTGACTTTAATTTCTCACTGAAATTTGGGGATGTTTGTGTGAGGTATCCGGTAAATGGCACCGATTGTTATAGGCGTTTAAGGTTTTTTTACAGTAAAATTAGCAAAAATGTATTCCCATATTCTCACTAAAGCCAATGGTGTAAAAACAAGATAATTGGTTAGGTAATAGATTGCAATACCCCCCAACTTGGTTTGTTCTGCAGTTGTGAATTGCTGTGTATCCTGGGTAGGGGGTAGATATCTATTGTGTCCTGCTTAAGCCAGGTCTCAGTAAGAATAATGCAGGAGAAGGGTGTCTTTAGTGATTCAAGGAGTGCTAGGAGGTCATCATAGTGTTTGTTTAAGGACCTGATGTTGTAGTTAAGTACTGATAGACTTTTAGCATTGTTTAGGATAGTGGTGGCTTGGGGATGCTGTGTAATAAAGGCAGTTACTTTCCAATAGGTTTTGATTGGGTGTCGATTATGGAGGTTTTTAGATCAGGGTCAACGTGATCAATCATCTTCTAGGTTTAGAATTATGGTTATTTATATCCTGAGTTGTGTGTTGATTCTCTACTGATATCTGTGTGGTTGGAAGTTTGGACAAGTATATGCTAGAGTATTTTGGTCATGTAGGGTAAAGTCACTACTACACATAATGAAGTTGATGTTGTCTAGTGTTTTTGCTGGAATGAACTAAAGTACAACTAGGTAAAAAACTAGTAAATAAAAATAAAAATTTTAAAAATAGAACAAGACTCTCACTTGTAATTGCACTAAGGTCTAATAATGACTTTTGTGGAGTCTATGTTTTGAGCAAAGAGTGAGCTAAAAGTACAATAGGTTTAATCTAATAATATAAAAAGTACAAATTAAAAATAGCACTAAGTCTCTCACTAGTAATTGGCACTATGGTCTAATATAGTGAAATTGGTATTGACTATGTCTTAGGTGGGAATGAGCTATGGTCCCAACTGAATTTAATCTAATAATATAAAAATACAAATTAAAAGTAGCACCAGTCTCTCACTAGTAATTGCACTATGGTCTAATATAGTGAATTTGGTATTGACTATGTATTGAGCGAGAAAGAGCTATAGTACAACAACTTTAGTCTAATAATATAAAAATACAAATTACAAATAGCACCAGTCCCTCACTAGTAATTGCACTATGGTCTAGTATAGTGAATTTGGTATTGATTATGTATTGAGCTAGAATGAGCTAGAGTAAAACTGTGATTAATCTAATAATATAATAAAGGAACAAGTGTTGCTTTGTTGTTCTAGAGTGTCTAGTTTATGTTCTAGAGCAGTGATCTTGTTGAGGTAATCTGCATTGCTAGCCTTTAGTTCCTGCATTTCCTGAGTTAGTTTGGTGATCGTTTGGTTCTGAATCATAAGGAGTTTAGCTATTTCTGGGTCGGTGATCTTCTTGAAATCAAATACTGGGAAGGAGTTATCTTGGACTGTAGCGGCGGCCATGTTTGTTGTCGTCTGTCGTGTGTTGTGGTGCTTATTCATTTGTCTGTTTGTTATTAGTGACTTTAATTTCTCACTGAAATTTGGGATGTTTGTGTGAGGTATCCAGTAAATGGCACCGACTGTTATAGGCGTCTTAAGTTTTTTTACAGTAAAATTAGCAAAAATGTATTCCCCATATTCATCACTAAAGCAAGTGGTGCTAAGACAAGATAATTGGTTAGAGTAATAGATTGCAATACCACCCCCAACTTGGTTTGTTCTGCAGTTGTGAATTGCTGTGTATCCTGGTAGAGGGTAGATATCTATTGTGTCCTGCTTAAGCCAGGTCTCAGTAAGAATAATGCAGGAGAAGGGTGTCTTTAGTGATTCAAGGAGTGCTAGGAGGTCATCATAGTGTTTGCTTAAGGACCTGATGTTGTAGTTAAGTACTGATAGACTTTTAGTATTGTTTAGGATAGTGGTGGCTTGTGATGCTGTGTAATAAAGGCAGTTGCTTTCCAATAGGTTTTGATTGGGTGTCAGATTATGGAGGTTTAGATCAGGGTCAACGTGATCAATCATCTTCTAGGTTTAAAATTATGGTTATTTATATCCTGAGTTGTGTGTTGAGTTCTACTACTGATATCTGTAGTGGTTGGAGGTTTGGACAAGTATATAGCTAGAGTATTTTGGTCATGTAGGGTATAGTCACTACTACACATAATGAAGTTGATGTTGTCTGTGTGTTGTGCTGGAATGAACTAAAGTACAACTAGCAAAGTTAATGTCGGAGGAGTTTGGATTAAAGCCTGTGATAGTGGTGCCATCAGTGGATGCGAGTTTGTAGGTGTTACGGACCCGTTTCCTGGAGGGGGAGGAAGAGATGGATCTGTTTTTATGTTCTTTTGTATGTCTGTCAGAAGTTGGGGCAGGTTTGGGTTTGAGTGGATTTTGTCTGGAGGAGGTGGAGTTGGACCTGGATGAATTTTTGGTTGTGGTGGAGGAGTGGGCGAAGGTAGATGCAGAGGAAGTGGAAGCTTTGTAGGGGATGAGGAAGTGGAAAGCTATGGTACTGGGTAAGGAAGCGGAAGCTTTGGTTGGGGATGAGGAAGTGGGTAAGGAGGGAGGGGGAGGGGTGGTCGTAGGCAGCAGCAGTAGGGGTGTTGGTGGGAGGGGT